TTACGACGGCTTCAATTGCAATCACTTTCAGAATATCTGAGACGATGCTCTGGACACTCTCGCCACGGTTTTCTCGGTCGTGGAAGCGGTTGGTGGTCAGTTGCCCGAGCAAGTTTATGCGGTTGTTTTGGCGCTGCTCCCTAAGCCCACTGGCGGCTACAGGGGCGTTCTGCTCCTGGCACTGCGAGCGGAGCCGCTGTCGGCGGCAACGCGATCTGGCCTGGGAGCAAGAACGCCCCCATAGGCACTGGGCGGCGGGTGAGCATCGAGGAGCAGCAGACGGTGTCCGGAGGCAACGCGCTCGAGCCGAACACGGCACCTCGGTTAAGGACGTCTTGCCGGGTTTTCTCCGAGATGCTTCAGGGTGCTGAAACACTTGGCCTTAACTTGAGGATAAGTGTAAGAAGCGCGGGTTTCCCCTTCCGATTGCTCGGCTTTGCATCTTTGCTTTTCGGCGCGGGCGCAGTCTGTCCTTGGGCGGCATCCTTGCGGGGCCTCATTGTGTGGAGAACAGGGCGGTTGCTGGGTGCAGTCTTGCTACCACTCTTATCAGAGTCTTCGCTTGTGACGCGCTTGACTCCCCCCGCCCCCCCCCGCGCTGACGTCGACGCCTGCAAAGATCACAGCGGGCTCTCTTCGCCAGGAAGGCGACAGCCAGTCATCTCCTCCATTGTGGACAGCGCGACGGCGCTCCAGTGTTGCGTTAGATAAGGCGAGCGCGGTTTCCTCTAGCAAGCTGGCGGCCTACGCGGCCGCGAAGAGACTCGGGGTTCTCGAGGGGAGAAGGGTGGACATCGCGGTGAACCCTGGAGGATTTTTTTTTTGGTCCGCGGGAAAAGCCACCGGGCCCTGGGGGCGGGGGCCCGCTAGCAAGCTCGAAGAGAACATGGCCAGGATGTGCAGCGGTGCCGAAGGACTCAGGACCCCGTCGGGCACCATGTGGAGGAAGTGTTTTAGGGTTTTCTCGGCTGGCCCTCTGGCGGGGGGGGGCCTATGGAAGCGACGTCGCGGGGGTCAGCGACCGCGACCTTCTCCTCGTGCGCAGGGCGGCTTGCGCGCATGGCCAGGTCCTCTGCTCCGTCTCGCAGTCTCGCCGCGCGCTGCACGTTGGCTGGCGCCCCCGCGTGGAGGGCGCTCGCGGCCCCCGGCTGTCAGGGTGGGGGTCGGGTAGGGCAATGGCATGAACATGGAAAGTCTAGGGGAAGGATAGGGGAACACACAGTGACATAAGCAGTGGCATAACCATTGCTCGGTGGGGAAAGGATGGGGGGAACAGGCAGTGACACAAACATAGAAACTCTGAGGTCCGCGCAGATTTCTCGGATCGGCGCTGGGCCCGTCCCAATGTGGCCAAACATTCGCTTTTTCCGTCGCCTGCTCGTCTCCCGAATAAAAAAAAATGTACCGTGAAATGAATCGTCATAGAGGCTACCGCTCGTGCGGGTTCCTGTATGCTAGGCATAATCAAGGCTGGTGCCCACGCATATTTAGAGGAGCATGGCACCTCCGCGTTTGAACGGTTTGCAGGAAGTGTAGCAACGATGCGGACATTGCTCTGAAGCATGCCATTCATATTCACCCGTCTGACAAAGCGGGGCTGAACGCGGTGGATTGCAAGGCTTTGGCTGCCAGAACCGCTTGTAAGTTTGCGGCGAACGTTCTTCTTAGTTGGTCCAGGACCGACCTTGCTGGAGCCAGCAATGCGCCCCCTCCTTATCCTCCCCCTCGCCTCCCCCACGGCAGGCAAGGCCATCAGTGGGAGTGGGTTGGTCTGGCTTGTAGAGGTGTGGAGTTTGTTTAGTGGGAAGCAGAGCTCAGGACGAACCTTCCCCTTTGCGCTGTCATCCAAATCATCGCAGGGAGCACTTTTCTGTCAACATCAACTCGGTCAGCGGCCTGTTCGCATCCGCTGCGACTGGCACAGATGCGGATTTGACCGAAGAGGGCCACAATCAGGCGTCCCCAACGTTGTTACAATGTAAGAGCTCTGTTGTGGCAGCAGACGGTGCGTCATCCAGTCCTGGCGGGACGGCCACCGCGCTGCTGCCCAGAGTTGGCCAGAAGGCCCTCCGCAATCTCGCGAGGCGGACCCTTCTGCGGCTGCAGCTGAGGGTCGGGGGCAGTGACGGGGAGTTGGCTGCTGCTGCCGAGCTCGGTCTCTCTTCGTCCTTGGATCCTTACCCCTCCTCGCGTTGTGAGCGTTTGAGCGAAGCGGATCCCGAGGTGGACTGCAAGCCCCCGCCGCGGCCAGCCGTTCCCGCCCTCGCGGCGCTGCGGGGCGCTGGCAGGGGAGCCGCCGACGCCTGTGCGGCAGCCCCCGCGACCAACAACGGCTTGCCGTGCGCTGGCGCGCTGGCTCCTGATGCTCCCTGTCCTCTTGGCTGCAGCGTGGCGTGCTTGCATGCGGCAGTGACGCTCTGTGCCGTGGCGGCCTCTCTCTCCGCCTTCAGGAGGAGTTGCCTGCTAAAGCACGTGACGCTGCCCAGGAGTCGGGCAACTCAGACTCATGGGTTGTTGGCTTCCCCTTGCCTAAGCTTGGCAGGGGGAGTCCAGCTTCGGCTGGACAGTGAATGCAGTCACCTGCCTCTTGCATCGCTGAGCGTCTGGCAGAGAGAGGGCGCCGAATCCTATCTGGGGGCTGTCCGGAGAGGGGCACCAAGGACGCGCCAAGGGACAAGCCAAGGGCCGTGTCAAGGGACGCGCCCAAGGTCCTTTGTTTTCTTCCCCCCCACCGGCCTCATTGACTGTATGTCACGACAGCAGGGCTGCGCCGCAGCGTGAGACGGAGAAGCGGAAGGCGGCTGTCAACTCGCACCCAGACGTGCGCAGAGTATTCAAATGCGCCATGACACAAAGGCTAAAAAGGTAGACGACCAAAGCGAAGCGGCAGGAGGAGGAGGAGGAGGCAGGACAAGGACATGCCCATGGGCCTCTTAGGGATCTCGTGGTGCTGTTTGGGGGTCGCCTGGGGGGTTCCTTGGGCAGCATAGTTGCCTCCCGTGGGCCCTGCCGTTCCAGAACCTCTGGGACGCATGCGGTAAGGCCCATTGGGGGGGGCATGCTGGGGCTGCTTTGGAGGCCGCGCTGGGCGTTTAGGGGGTATTAGGGCAGTGTTTGAAGCGTACTTGTGGTCTCTGGGGCTGCCGCACCATGCTAGGCTGCTCTGGACAAGTTCAGGAGCCCCCTGGGCCCATTTTGGGACCGTATCGGGCTCGCCTTGGGCACCGCCCCTCTTCTCAAAGAGGGCTCCAAGACGACCCCCAAGAGGGGCCCAGGACAGCGGAAGAGGTGCCCGGCGCGTCGCCGCACGGAGTGCTGCGGGGGCAGTGGCGGGACCGGCCACGGGCCGCTGACATCAGGTGTGGCCAGTGCCGCGAACTCCTCGAGAGGGGAGGGGAGGGAGAGGGAAGGAGGGAGGGGGAGGAGGGGGAGGGAAGGCGGAGGGAGAGGGAGGGAGGGAGGGCGGAGGAGGAACAGCGAGAGGGGGAGCGAGGGGGCGGACAGGCGAGGACGGAGGACGAGGAAGACGACGAGGATCGAGATCCAGGAGGCGTCCACGATGCTGCAGCTCGACGGAGAAGCCGCCCTCCCAGCCAAAAGTCCCCCTCCGCCCGAGAGCCCCCTGCAGGCTTCTCTCTCCCCTCCCCTGGGCCTCCTCCTCCTCCTCCTCCTCCTCCTCCTCCTCCTCCTCCTCCTCCTCCTCCTCCTCCCCTCCCCCTCCTCCTCCTCCTCCTCCTCCTCCTCCTCCTCCTCCTCCTCCTCCTCCTCCTCCTCCTCCTCCTCCTCTCTCCTCCTCCCCTCGGCGGGGCCCGCGCCCCCTCGGAAAAACGAAGGGGCGCCCCGCGGGTCTGCCGCCCAGGAGGCGCGACGCGCCCATCGCGGCTGCCTCCAGGGGACCCTTTCGCCCTCGGGCGCCAGGAGGCTGCGCAGCACAAAGCTGCGAGGGACGATACATAAGGAGCGAGGCCCCTTTTTCCCGTAAGTGAAACTCCGATGTTCCATGGAAAACCTCAGGATGTCCCAATCCCCCCTTTCTAGGGGGAAAACAAACCTACCTCGCTTTTGACCACCCTCGCTTCCAAGAGATACCAAACGATGCCAAAATTGCAGCCTGTACTGGTCAGGCCGCTTGATGGGGAGGCGCGTGGTGTGGCTTGGTTTTGCCTGGAAGCGAAAGCGGGGTAGGTAATTCACGCTCTGAGAAGCAGAAGGGCTGCAGCATGGTGCGAAGATGTGCGAGGCTACCGACGTGGGCGATCGAAGAGTGATGCGAGGACATGGTGCAAAGAGGTTGCGCAAGAACGCGCGAGGATAGAGGAAACAGCAAAACATGAACTTGTGGCGCTCCGCGCGCCAGGGAGGGGGTCCAGCGCCAGGGGGCGGAGGCGGCGCGCCAAAGGCGGCGCCGGAGGCGCCGCCTTGGGGTGGCCCGCGCGGATCCGAGGAATCCGCGCGGAGCGCCCAAATCTTATGTTTATGGCTCTCTTCGAGAGGCAGCGTCCACCCGAAGACCCGCTGCCAAGGGGCAGCTCTCGAGGGGCCCGTCGAGGGGTGGGGCCGCTGTACGTCCTTACACTCCTGGTGGTGCGCATTGCACTCTCTCGCTTCTGATCCTAATTCTGCATCCAGCGAATCGAGAACGAGAGCCCGACTCTGGGAAGAGAGCGTCGTCCTCCAGCTCCTCCTCCTCCTCCTCCTCCTCCTCCTCCTCCTCCTCCTCCTCCTCCTCCTCCTCCGCTTCCCTTCCTTCCCGGGCTCCCCCACTCCTTTCGCCTTCACCCCTCTCCTCCTCCTCCTCCTCTGCTCCTCTCCTCCTCCTCCTCCTTCCTCCTCCTCCTCCTCCTCACTTCCCTGGCTCCCCCACTCCTTTCGCCCTCACTCTCCTCCTCCTCCTCCCTCCTCCTCCTCCCCCTCCTCCTCCTCCTCCTCCTCCTCCTCCTCCTCCTCCTCCTCCTCCTCCTCCTCCTCCTCCTCCTCCTCCTCCTCCGTCCTCCTGTCTTTGTGCCACTGCCGGCGCTCGGCCCACGCACATCCCCGCGGGATGCCCTCAGCCGAAGAGGTCGAAGTCCACGTCCTCCTCCTCCTCCTCGACCTCCTCCTTCTTTGCCTCCTGCGCCGGAGCGTTGCCAGCAGGGCTGGACCTAAACTTTGTTGTTCGTTTTGTTTTCGTTATGTTGTTCGTTTTGCTCTATCGGATTTCCTGTACCTCCCTGCCAAAACGAAGAACAACACACAGCCGAAGTCCAGCAAAGCAGCGCTCAGGTCCAGCCCTGGTTGCCAGAAAGTGACCCTGGAGGCACCCAGGTGGCCCCAGCTGTCCTCCGGGAGGCACAGGTGGCCTCCGGCGCAGCAGAGGGCCTCAAAAGGGGCTCCACGCAGTGGGGCAGAACGCGGAGGGGGCCTTTTGGGGCCAGGGTCCGCCCTGTGGCGGCCCCTGGCTGGAGGAGGAGGGGGAGGAGGAGGAGGAGGAGGAGAGGAGGAGGAGGAGGAGGAGGAGGAGGAGGAGGAGAGGAGGAGGAGGAGGGGGAGGAGGAGGAGGGAGGAGGAGGAGGAGGAGGAGGGGAGGAGGAGGGAGGAGAGGAGGAGGAGAGGAGGAGAGGAGGAGGAGGAGGAGGAGGAGGAGGAGGAGGAGGAGGAGGAGGAGGAGGAGGAGGAGGAGGAGGAGGAGGAGGAGGAGGAGGAGGAGGAGGAGGAGGAGGAGGAGGAGGGGGAGAGGAGGAGGAGGAGGAGGAGGAGGAGGAGGAGGAGGAAGGAGGAGGAGGAGGAGGAGGAGGAGGAGGAGGAGGAGGAGGAGGAGGAGGAGGAGGAGGAGGAGGAGGAGGAGGAGGAGGAGGAGGAGGAGGAGGGAGGAGGGAGGAGGAGGCGGAGGGGAGGAGGCGGGCCGAGGGTGCGGCACCTGTTCGGTCCCCCTGTTGCAGGATGGCGTCTGGACGAAGGTCTGATCGGGCAAATGTGAAGCAGGAATCTTCGAGAGCCGGCCGATCTGGAGGACGTAGCGGGCGCGAGGAGGGGGAGGAGGAGGAGGAGGAGGAGGAGGAGGAGGAGGAGGAGGAGGAGGAGGAGGAGGAGGAGGAGGAGGAGGACCAGTGCAAACCCAAGACTCATCAACGATGTTGGAATATACCCTCCCTCCGAGCTCCCTCTTCGTGGGCCGAGCGTTCCGACACGCTCTTCTGCATAGAGGAAGCGGGTCCTTAGGCAACCGGGCCCCGACAAGACAAATCCTTAATCCTGTGCAGTTTTTGGACGGCCTCGGAGCCCGTGGGGGACCCCAAGTGCCCGAGAACAACGAGGAGCCTCCAATACCCCTTTCATCCAAGGGCGAATTTCCCTCGCGACACTTCACACTCCTGGGCCTGCCTAATTCCCTAAGGGCCTCGTGGGGATCAAGCCGGTTACATGAAAGTATGTGCAAATCCGTCGGCCCCCTTGCGGGGCCACCAGGCTGTAGGCCGGGAATGTGCTGCTCCCTGTGCCAGTTGCAGCTTCCAGTTTCCACTGTTACAGTTCTGCTTCTTGCTGCTTACTGTTCCTTGTTGATGAACGCGCGAGGGGGGGGTGAGCCCAAACCAGCAGAACTACCACGCCCAGGGAGGATTCTCAGAAGGGTCAGGGTCCAAAAACACATGGGATTTGCCACATTCCTGAAATTCGGTGGCACCCCTCATGCAGATCGGCAGGGTCAGGGTCCAAAAACACAAGGGATGCGCCACATTTTTGAAATTCGGTATCACCCCTCACGCAGATCGGCGGTGTCAGGGTCCAGTTGCACATGGGATTTGCCACATTCCTGAAATTCGGTGGCTCCCCTTCACGCAGATCGGCGGCGGGGTCAGGGTCCAAAAACATAAAGGATTTGCAACATTTCTGAAATTCGGTATCACCCCTCACGCAGATCGACGGGGTCTAAAAACACACGGGATTTGCCACATTCGGCTTCACCTCTCACGCAGATCGGCGGGGTCAGGGTCCAAAAACACATGAGATTTGCCACATTCCTGGAATTCGGTGGCATCCCTCAAGCAAATCGGCGGGGTCAGGGTCCAAAAACACAAGGGATGTGCCACATTTCTGAAATTTGGTGGCACCCCTGATGCAGATCGGCGGGGTCAGGGTCCAAAAACACAGGGGATGTGTCACATTTCTCAAATTCGGTGCCACCCCTCGCGCATATCGGCGGGGTCAGGGTCCAAAAACACAAGGGACTTGCCACATTTCTGAAATTCGATGGCACCCCTCATTCAAACTGGCCGGGCCAGGATCCAAAATCAAGGGGATGTGCCACATACCTGAAATTCGGTGGCACCCGTTACGCAGATCCGCAGTGCAGGGTCAATAAAAACAATAGCATTTGCAACATTCCTGAAAAGAATTCGGTGGCACCCCTCACGCAGATCGGCGGGGTCAGGGTCGAAAAACAAGCAGGTCCCGACACTGCTTCACGGCGGCGCCCAGACCTCATGATTTAGCTTTTGCATCTCCCATTATCCGAGACAGGGGGCCGGCGGTACGGGGCGAAGCCCTTACGGATATAAGCTGAGGCAAATCCAAAGAAGTCCGGGTCAATCCAGGTACAGCAGGTTCGTGTCGTGCCGACTTCGGCGGTGGTTTCTGACACTGCTGGGATCGTGCAGCCTTGAACGATCGGCCATTTCCGAAACGTCCGCTCGTCGAGCATTGACCGATTCTGGGTCGCTGGCGGCCCTCAACGACGTTGAACCCCGGCCGCGGGGTCGCCGCCGGTCGACGCGACGCGAACCTGCCGTAGATCCAGAGCTCTCGAGAGAACGCTGCAGCACATCGTGGTCGCTCCAGCGCGAGCCGAGGGACGGCAGAAGCCGTCCCACGCCCTGGACGAGTGTGGTCCTGGGCCTCCTGCGGGGCCCTCGCCGCCGCGGTCGCCGGGGCGGGGGTTCGAAGGTGGGGTCCTCAAGGGTGGGGTCCTGAGGACAGGAAGGGATCCACAGGTGGATTGACATTGTTTGAGGCACCTCGTCCTTAGGATTGTGTCGGGCCTGGCCCCCTACAGGGGAGTTTTCGACGAAAAATAAGAGATACCCCAAAAATAATCGAAAAATAATCAGGGGACTATCTTTTGATTATTTTGTTTGCCTTTTTGGGGTATTTCTGGTGTTTTTTTTTTTTTTGTTTGGTTCATTTTCCATCGAAAATCCCCCTGTAGGGGGACAGGCCCGACTTAAACTTAGGACCCCATCCCTCAAGACCCCATCTTTGAACCACCGACCGGGTCCGCCGAGAAGGGGCCGCGCCAACGCCGGCCAGGCCGTGAACCGGGATGGCCGGGCATCGGCAGCCAAGTCGTGAGAAGTCGAATCGGCGGACATCGGCAGGCCAGCGAGGCCGCCACTGGGAAACCGGAATCCAGCTCGGAATCCGAGGTCGAATCGAATCGGAATCGGAATCGACCGCAATCGGAGCGAATCGAGCCAGAGAAGTCGAAGTGAGCCCCGGAGGGGCCAGGCACGCTCCCGTGTCCGACCTGGCTCCCCCAGTTGAAGTGGGCACGAGGACAAGAAGAGATCCAGCAGTGCACACGGGATCCCACGGTCGGCCCCGTCCTTCGGTCCGGGGTCGTTTTGCTGGCTTGCTCGCGCGGGCGACCCGCTCGCGCGCGCTGGCGCTGCGGGGGCTGTGCGCTCCGACAGCGCGTTTGTGAAATACGCACGCGGGCCCTGGTCTCCAGTGAGGTGCCCCCTAGAGGGGGTCCGAGACCGAGTGGAGGGGGTCGGAGGATGGCACCGCATCGCCGATGCATCGGCGACGCACCGGCGATACATCCGCGATGCATCGGCGACGTCGGCGATGTATCGGCGACGTCGGCGCCGAACAAATCGGTCACTGCATCGAACTGTATCGCCGATGCATCGGCGATGCGGCGCGACCTTTCGACCCCACCTACTCCGACTCCATCTTGGAGGCCTAGATCCAGGGCAAACCCGAAGGCCAGTCTTCACCCCTGGGTCAACTCTTTGACGCTACTGGGGCCCCTCCCAGCGAAAAACCTCCCAGCCCCTTCTTCCGCATGCTGGTTGCTTCCCCCCCGTCCTTAGACAATCGCGCGCTCCACTACCCGCAAAGTAGCTACTCGTAAGTGGCCTGGATCCGCCGCGGGGGCACCCTTGGCCGCCCCCGACCGTAAAAGCGGGGACTCCGATGAGCCGGGACGTTGGCGCACCTGGGGACGCTGCAGACGCGGATCGAGTCCTCCACCCTCTGCTCCCTCCCGCCGCAACGCCCGAGGCCCTTCGGCTGCACGCGACGAGTGACCCTGCAGGCACGACTGGGCTTCCGTGCGCGGCCTCACGGGGGCCGCGGGGGGGGGGGGCAGGTCCAAGCACGCAGGCCGGTGCTGGGGTACCACTGTGGGCCCGCACCATCGGCGCCGCTCCGGCGAAGTGTCGTCTTTGTCATCGCCGCGCGAACGGGCGTTACAAGGGGGGGGGGGGGGGGGGGGGGGGGGGGGGCACAACGCAGCGCCCCTCCCTCGCCGCGTGGGTCCGGCATCACAGACCAGACCGTGGTGCTGGAAGCGCTGCGGAAGTGCCGGGGGCGCAGTTGGGGGGGGGGGGGGGCGTGACGTTTTATGGGGGATGGGAGGGGAGGGGGGATGGCGGGGGCATGCCGATCGGTCGGAAGAAGTAGGTAGAAGCATGAAGTAGGAAGGCGTTGAAAATCGGTCGGGTCCCGTCCGCCCCCTAAGGAGGACGGACAAGGTGAAACCACTCGATCATTAAAGTAGGAAGGCGCTTAGAGTATATATAATTACCAGAACCCGTGACTCCCAAAATACCTGCTTCCAACGACCGACGGTGAACGCGCGTTGTGGCCCAGAGAAGAAAACAACACTCTCTTCCGAGTGGCCGAGCCGTGCTGTGCAGTGTCCTCGCTTCCGGCGCCCTGGGCCCCCTCCAGTTCCCTCCCGGCACGGCTCCTGGGCAGCTCCGCCGGCTCCGCCGTCCCCGCCGCCGCCGCCAGTGGCGGCAGCACCGCCGCCGCCGCCGCCGCCCCCGCCGCCGCCGCCGCCGCCCATCTTGACGAGCGCGTCCATGCCTAGAGGGATACGCACCCAGACACGATCGCGTCGTAACAAAAAACAGGACGGCAAGTTTTTCGCCATTTTCGGCCACTGGGGGCACTCGCTGGTCCCCGGGAGATCAAACAATTACTCAGGATGAAATACCGGTCCCAGGGAAAGGGTCGGTACTTCAGGGGACGCCGTACTGAACAAAATCAGGATGTCGCATGCTTGGGCAAGCAAATGCGCGTAAGCCAGCGCTGGCAGGGAGTGATGCACTGCAGTGTGGAGGTGGGAGCTGCGCGCGGGGCGGGCAACGTGTGGCGTAAGACTGTGTCGTGGAAGCTGTGCGGTGCAGGCTGTGGGCTATGTGGTGCCAGCTAGGTTGTGTAAGCTATGCGGTGTGAGTTACCTTGTGCAAGCCACGCGGCGTGACCTGCGTGTTGCGCGCGATCGTGCGCAGGCCACGCCGCGCCAGCTGAGCGGTGTGAGCTCTGTCGTGCAAGCCATGCGGTGTAAGCTGCGCGGCGTGACCTCTGCTGTGCAAGCTGTGCTGCCCACCCGGGGCCCCTGGGCGCCCTCCAGCGCCCACTCGGCGCCCCTGGGACACTAAGAAGAGGAGGAGGAGGAGGAGGAGGAGGAGGAGGAGGAGGAGGAGGAGGAGGGGGAGGAGGAGGAGGAGGAGGAGGGAGGAGGAGGAGGAGGGGCGGGAACGCGGCAAGCCCTCGGCGGACCCTCCCAGGGACACGGAGCGCAGTGCGTGCGCCCGCGAGGCGCCCACGGGCGGGCACGCAAGGGGAAGCCCGCCGGACCCGCCGAGGGCGCGGGGCGCGCCCACGAGAGCTCACGCAGGCGCCCGCGGGCGGGAAGGTCGCGCCACGTCGGCAAGTCCACGGCGGGCACGCCCAGACACCAAGAGAGAGAGGAGGAGGAGGAGGAGGAGGAGGAGGAGGAGGAGGAGGAGGAGGAGGAGGAGGAGGAGGAGGAGGAGGAGGAGGAGGAGGAGGAGGAGGAGGAGGAGGAGGAGGAGGAGGAGGAGGAGGAGGAAGAGGAGGAGAGAGAGAGAGAGAGAGAGAGCAGCGACCTCCCCCAAAGGCCAGAGCACCCTTGCTGTGGAATCGGCAGAAGCTTCCCGGAGGTCCTCGGAGATTGCCCACAAGGCCGGCGCGGGAGCCCCCGTTTGGCGGCGCCAGCGTTGGAGTCTAACACGCGAGGACATCGGCCACGCGGTGAGCGGCAGGCGTCGAACAAGAGCAATCAGCAGAAGCATGCACGTTGGGAGGTCCGAGCGGAACTCTTGGGTGAGCGATGGCCCCCCCTGGCGGCACCTCGAGCGCCGCTTCTGGTGCGCTCCGCGCGCCAGGCACGGGGTCCAGCGCCTGTCCAGCGAATCTGCGGGGAACTCCGAGAGGTTTTGCTCGTGCGTGCTTCTTCCTGATGGGGGTCCGACAGAACCTCCTTTAGCAAAACCCTCTGTGGTCAGGTCGGGCATGTTCTTCTACAGGCAGTTTTTGAAAGACAAGGAAGGAGTAATGACCAAAACGTTTGAAGCATAGACAAAACTATCAGAAACATCTTCCCCAGACCATCTTCTGACTGTTTTTGGATATTCCTCCTGTAGAGGGGCATGCCCGACGTAACTCTATGGTGAACACATCCTGGGACCAGACCCGGCGGCGCGCAAGCCCGCAAACGGTGCGGTCGCGCAACACCCATGAAAAGGGTAATTCGCTAATTAATCGACTCGGCATGGAGGTTTCATGAACGAGTGCCGTAGGTGCTGATCATCTTCGCCATGAGCATGGGCACGTAGCCCTCCACCTGGATGCCCGCCGCCTTGACCAGGCTTGCCATGCTCGCCGCGTCGACCTCGGCGTCGTGCTGGTGGTGGTCATCGTCGTCATGGTCGTGGTCGTCGTCGTCGTCGTGGTGGTGGTGGTCGTCGTCGTGTTCGTAGTGGTGGTGGTGGTGGTGGTGGTGGTGGTGGTGGTGGTGGTGGTGGTGGTCGTCGTCGTCGTCGACGCGTCGACCTGGGCGCCGTCGTCGTGCAGCACCAGGGCGGCGTACGTGCAGGCCAGCTCGTCCTGCTGCTCCTTGGAGAGCTGCTCGACGGGACAGCCGGCCATGGCTGGCAAGTGCCCTCCCGACCCCGAGATGAGCAGGGGAGCAGTGATGGGCCTGTTTTCCACCACCACCACCATAAGTTCGAGGAGGAGGAGGACGACGAAGAGGAGGAGGACGAGGAGGAGGAGGAGAAGGAGGAGGAGGACCCCCTCCCCCTCCAACTTATGGTGGTGGTGGAAAACAAGCCCATCAAGCAGGGGGCGAAAATAAACGCGCGCACCTCTCCAGCACCTTCTGGGCCCGCGGTGGCAGGCTCGAGGCCGTCCAGGGCCCCGTTAGGGCCCCTTTCCTGCCGTCCTCGATCCTCCGCCTCCTCCTCCTCCTCCTCCTCCTCCTCCTC